CCTTTACTTAAGAGGATACAAGGGCAAGTGATTACAAGATTATAATTGGTTAATCCAATATAATCAGTTATGCCATAATCCTTGTAACCATGGACAATGAACTTTCAGTCTTGGTGCCTTTGAAACATTGTAGTCAGGTCTGTGAGTCAGCTGCTGTGTTCAAAATTACCTCAGTGTGTCTCCATGGAGATGAAGCAGCAGTAAAACAGGTTGTGACTGAATGTGATCAATCAGCCAATTACGTGCAATCTCTTTGATAATACAAAATTAACTGTAATAAATCCGCCATTTGTTGCAAATATGTTACCATTTAAATACACAGAAATTCACGTTAAGTAGAAATTCCTATAAACTACTTAGAATCCTACTCCAGGCAGAACCTCATAGATCTGAAGCTAAAATTTAAAAATCAATGTTTTATCACTCAAGTACCCGAGAAAGGACAGACAGCATCTGTTTCCTGCAGTGATAAAGACCGCCGTTTCACATTATAAGAAGAGAGCAGGAGAAATAAAAAAAGATGGCAACACTGCCAGCTATGATCAAACAAGTAGAGACAGGCTGTACCCATTTGGCTGCCTGCCCGTTTTCATTTTCTTTTTTCTTAGAAACTTGAGAGGATTTGATGGAAACCTTGAAGTTTAGTTTCCTTTTTATTGGGGCCTGTTGTGTTCATTTCCAATAGAGAAGCTTTGCCTGGTTCACATTTCAAACAATCCTTATTTCTTTCATAGTGAATCTTATGAGTAAATTTGATTAGGACATCTTGTATTAGTCTTCACTGATCCAACCCCTGCATTCCTGGTTGCTCGGGCTGCTGCAGGCTCTTTACACCACTTCCTCGTTTCCACGCTGTCAAGCTAAATTCTGTTATTATCACTCTGGTCCAATCGTTTTCTTCCCTGCCTTCTGCAAGCCGATCAGCCCACTAAAATGCTCCTTTCTTCTGAGTGACTGCCCCTCAGTGTGGATGCTATGAACATAAATTCTAAACCTTGTAAAAAACTGAAATTCTCATTCTTAATGGGAAATCTCAGATCCGTCTTTACATATTTGAACCCATTTACAGTTTGGTTTATAAAAGTAAACACTATTAAAACCTGCAGCCTCAAAGACCGATCTGTGTGATCTATATTGCAATACATAAAATTAGTCTTTCAGTCATAAATCTCCCTGTCTGCAGGCGGTGATTTACACCAACCTGGACTAAAGCCAAAGCTGAATCAATGTTTTCCACGTTGACTGCTCCAGCTCCACATTATCAGATTGAGGAGGTTCAGGTCTTTTAGCTTTTGCTGAACAAGTGGCTTAGCTGCTTTTATCTGTCACAGTTGTCCCAAGTGACCGTGACGGGAGAAGCTTTGTTTACATTACACCGTCAGTGGGAGAAGAACTCAGAGCAGCCGTTAAAACAAGCAAAGATAAAGAAAGCACATGTGATCCTACACAAAGACAAGGGTGACGAAAAGAAACAAAGAAGCTCCAGCTGGCACGTGGATATATGAGCAAGAAAGAAAAGTAGGAGAAATGGGATAAAGACAAACTGAGAAAGGGACCTTTATATTGTTATTTTCTCTTCTTCATTTATACAAAGAACTGTGTGCACTTGAAAAGGAAAGAAGCACGCTTTTTTATTCTGCAAAGTCATAAAAATAGAGGAGGAAAACTACCACGTTGTTGCCATTAGATTCATTGTTATGCATCTTAGGTGACCACTGTGTCTCTGTCTCACACTGGAATTTATCAAGATACACACACACACACAAGTGCTCAGGGACCTGTTCTTGCTGTTCTGTCTTGCTCTCTCTGT